ACGTATATAGTACAGTGTTTCTCCAGTTCTCCCAAAACTTTTAACATGTTTATATTATTTTGCTCTAATGCAACAAGTAGTATTAGCATGGCTTTATCTTAACAGCATGATGCTAATCAGGTAGCTGTCACCTCTTTGCCTTGGGAGGAAAAAAATTAACCTTTGTTGTCTTTGTTTCTTTTTTTCTCCTTGAGAACTTGCTTATTCAGTTAAGTACCATCTGTGTGCACAGTGTCTGCTGCTTCCTGTTCACAGCTGGTGCCTTCCTCATTTTTTTTTTAAAGTTAAGTTTCATCCCTAGCTTAACTTTCTCAAAAAAAAAAAAAAAAAAACTCACTTGAGAAAGCCTTTTGCCATTTTTGCCACTTTTTAAGCAATGCTTCGTTTACAAAAACATTGAAACAGCTTGGTTATAGTAAATGATCTCTTTCCTTATCTCCCTGACTCTCCTGACCTTTTATTTTTTCCTTTCTTCTCTAGATGATGTGGTCTAGTGCTGTAACACAATATGCTTCTAGTCCCATCCCACAGAGAAGAACTCATCAGGCGGGTGAAGCTTCGGCTTCATATTCTGTGATACTCTGAGGCCTGTACTGTGATTTTTTACTACTTTTTCTTTCCTCTGATTACCTCACTTGTTGCTTTAGTAGAACACTTGGTAGCATACGCAGTATATTTCGATTACCTCACTTGTTGCTTTAACTTTAGTAGTAGTATAACACTTGGTAGCATACGCAGTATATTTGCTTTCTTTACTTTGTGATGACCTCCACCATCCCCTGTCTAAATTCTATTCAGTGTTTATTTGATCAGAGCTGCTCTCTACTATTTGTTTGGAGGGGAAAAATGAAAAAGGGTTCTACTTTGTTATGGAAGTGACCCACTGCAGCACAGAGAATGTTTCATATTGAAAGCAGGAAAGGACAGCAATACCGGAGCCTGGTGTGGCTAAAAGAATGAAATGTACTTTGCTAAGGACACAAATTATGTCTAGTAAATACGTAGCTGAGCAACCCTTTAAATTATGAAATGTGGATTGACCGCACGCCCTTTGTTTGATTCTGCAGTAAACAGAGGGGATGCCATTCACAGCTCTAACACTCGAGTCCCCAGAGCTCCATATATCCATGTAGAAACGGCCATGAAAAGGTTCTCATAGCATCTAATGCAAGATAACTGCTGCCTGGGCACCTTTTTAGGAGGAGAAAAATGTCTACTGTCAATGTGCAGTTCTTCACTCATCGTAAGCCGTCCACTTGGGAGAAGGAAATCTAATTTTCAGCCAAGCACATTGCACCCCATAAAGATGATTATATAAAGGGCAGAGAGTGCAGTTTGTTGCCCTCGTCCATATACCATGAAATGCCAACATGTAACCATAAGAGACAGCACTAGCTAATAGGAAGATGAGGAATTGTATGTGTTGGCACAAGATGTCAATCCTGCATGTGGACAACAGACTTGGAAGGTATTTAAACTCATATGACAAGAATCACCATGGGTATATTTTGGAGAGAGCTCTCCTGTAATGATACCGGGCATGTACTTGCTCTCAAGTAGGGAATGGCAGTTGATGACAATTTGCATATACCGCTCTATTCAAAATGCAAACTGTCCATTTGGAAATAACAGCATGAAGAGAGTAAAAAATGTTTCTGTAGGAGCGTACTGAGTCACAAAAATATTTTTTGTATACTGCTGCTAGCTAAAAGATGGCAGTTTTATACATTGCACTGCTCTCCTGGACTTGATTTTCTCATGTCAGCTAGATGGCCACACTTTATTTAAAACTAAAGCAGAGCCAGCATGCTGAAGTGCCTCCAGCTTTAATTAAAGTGATGGGTCTGGCAGTGAGAGCTGCAGAGAGGCAAGTGGCCCCGCACAAGGACCTGCCTCGGCTTGGAAGGGCGCTTCTGCTCCACAGGACCGCACAGCTCCTAGGAGGGGAGGTTTTAAGGAGAATTGTGTGTGTGCGTTTATTTATTTATTTTCCTGAGTCTGAATTGTGCAGGAGTCATTAGCAGGTGGCGAGGAGGAAGGGACAGGGGCACAGTCTGCCATCGGGGCCTGCCTGAAGTGGCGAGATTGATCAAATTGACAAACACAAGGCGATTTCTGCATTCATATTTTTTTAAAAAAAAAAAGGTTCAAAGCCTCTAAAAGTGCATACCAAGCTATGTCAGTTGGGGAATGGAATACTGAGGAGAAAGGGATAGCTCCAGATTTAAAACACAAAGCGAGAGTGGCCGTTGCCACATTTGCATTAGCCTTTGTAGAAGGGCAGAGGTAAGCAACAACTTGTGAGGAGACAAAAAAGCCACCATCAACAGCTCTCATTAACAGAGCTGGCGGGGCGGCTACTCTCGCTTTGAAGAGAGGCGAGAGGAGGCACCGAGGCAGAGCTGCCCTTCGGGAAGAAAGTGCAAAATTAACGCATTTTCCCGGCTCCAAGGAGGGGCGGGGAAGGACCGCTTCCCACCCGGGGGCAGCGGTGGCCGCTGGCTTCGCACACGGCCGCACGGGGCCAAC